TGCCTTACTGCTACACCACTATTAACCAGTTACTAATTTCCCACCCGAATTAATTAAAGTAATCAAAGTGCCACCAACCAGGATAAATCAGAACTAAGCACTGATGACATGCCTCAACTTCTCATATCCCCTGTTCGCCGAACCCACGCTCAGCCAGTCGCGCACAGTGTCAACACACACACAGACAGACACACAAACACATGCTGTCCCGTTTTGTCGGGCGCGCGCCTATAAGGGCCATCGCATCCAGCGAGGACATATAAGGCGGGGTCGTATGCGGCCGGGCCGCCCGGCGCGGCTCAGAGGCCGCCCGGCTGCTCGGCACGGCGAGAGTAGCGCCGCCGCCTCCGACCGCGCCAGTCGGCCGCGCGCCGAGACCGTGCACCCGCCCGTGCACGCCTGTGCACGCGCCACTGTGACTCATGCCGGCACGCGCGCCGCACAGGCGCGGAATGCGTGTTTGTGAGCGCGGAGAACGGATCCATACCGGGAGGACTGTGGGGGAGGGGAAGAGAGGGGCGGGGAACTGTGTACCCCGTCTGTGGGCGGCTGTGGAGGGCTTGGTGCCGGCCGGTGCGAAGCTGACGGAAGTGGCGGCGCAGTGACTGCTCTGATTGGTCCGGGCGTCCGGGGTGTTGTTGCAGGCGCAGGCTCACGCGTGGGCTGTGAAGGTGAATGATGTCTGCCGCTGAGGAGTAGAGGAGGAGAGAGATGCTGAGCACGCTGATTTGGGAGCTACTTGATGTGTAAGAACAAAGCTCACGAACTTGGTTCTTACACGTACGTGCTCAAAATTCGGCTTGGGATTGTGCATGGCTGGACGCAAGTAGACGAGCAACATCTCTGTGATCCGACACTTTGTTTTAAGTGGTCATTCATTGAAAATATTTCGTATGATTTTATGACGCTGTCAATGGTGACAGCATGTTCGAAGATATTCCTTGACAACCTCCCACGCATAGCACGAAATGCAGTTGTCAATGTCCGTCAAGCTGGGGCATGTAGCGCTTGATTCGTACTTTCAAAAGCATGTGCTTGTGCTTGCAACGACTTAGTTGGTGTGAGATTCTAGAGTAAGGCCATTTGGAGGTGTGTGTCACATTGTGTCAGCGCGTCCCATCAGTCGCGGAAAGTGCCGGTCCGGAATGTCGACCGGGGTCCCGCCCTGACAAAACTAGTTTCCAGAGGCGTCCTTATATGCGGTGACATAATACTAATCATAACAAACATTTCTAAACTTTACCGTGTGTAATATCAGCTGGCGGTGGGGTGGGGGGGGGGGGGGGGAGGGGCATGTGCCGCCCTTTGCACATTCCAGGTCAGGTCCCGAGGGACCTGGGGGCGGCCCGGGACTGGCGAGCAGGGGTCTCATTGGAGGGCCCAAAGGGCCGCTTGGAAGTCGTGTTAAAGGATCCCGGCCCGCTGGGCAGGGTCGCCAACTCATCAGCCAGAGGGCCTCTTGCGCCGACCGAGGGCGCCCTGGCAAGATAGGGGCCTCTATGCCGGTCTGATACCACCAATACTGAACACTCTACTTCGTGTCAGTCTGAGCCCTGGGGACTTTTTCCTAAGCAGTGACAAGGCCGAGGCCCACAAATGTCAATGAAGGTTTCTTGAAATATATGTTTTTTACTTAAAAAATACGAAAGATAACAACCAAAGGCCCCAAAGTAAAATAGTGGAAAGGCCCTGTGTTAGTCAGGAGCCTTTAAGAGAAGAACCTCGGCCTGTTTTAGCCAGTTACCCGATAACTTGAACTGAAGTCCTTGCGCCAATTATTGGAGCCTCCACACCGGTAACGAAGCGTTTCCGTCAGTGAAGTCCCTGTGTTGAACTGGAGGCCACTGACCTGGCATTCTGGCATTCGGATCGAACAGGGGGTCAGGGCCAGCGTGTCGGGTCAGTAGAATAGTACCCGCTAGATACATCAGACTGAAACGGGAAGGTCCTTCAGCCCCACACCGGGGAATGTTATGTGCCTCCTAGTGCTCTTCCCGTGGGGCGCCTGCTCGATAAGGTTCACGGTCTAATGAGTGTTTAATAGCGTGGGTCGAAACCTGATCAATAAGTTGCCTTGACATGGCCAACACATGTGTGTCTCTTGGACGCCAAGTCCATCCTTTTACACGACCGTTTCGGGAAAATAGTATGTTAACAGTTTTGGGCATGCGCGCTCGTAATCTGAGCCTATCGGAACCTCGGCGATCAAAAACTTACCGAAGCCCGGTGTTGCGGTCCGCATGGGACCTAACGGTGTTAGTTGCTGCAGCTAACGCGAGGTGTCGGACGGAGGCAGTGCGAGAATGACCATATGAAGGCAAGCGATGCTCCGAACGCCTTTGAAATAAATTTGCACCGCTCAATAGTTAAACCAGCAAAACTTCATCTTCTATTGCCGTGTGGCTTCCGTTTCAGTTTCATCAGGCGACAGATAAAGATAAAGTGGCGAAGTTTGGGCTCTATCGAAAAGTGGACGAAATCCAGGGGATTATTGGCGGGTGGCTTTCATCCGCTGAATTTCATATGTGCGATGTGGAGGCTGATCATCCGAACAGCTTAGCACCTACAGCTGCAAGAACAACAGAGACTCCACCATCGCGTCAAGAACTTGTGGTGCTGCAAATGACAATGCGCTCAGAGCATCAGGTTTTAATTGTGCGGGTGACACCCTCAACCCGGACTACCTTCCACGCCTTGGAATCGATTTCTTAAAGCACACGAGAGTACCTTTTGTCCGATGCGTGGTCATTTTCGCCAGTTCATTCGAAGACACCTGGTGTTGGTGGCAGGGCCAGCGTCTCGCCGCCTGTGGAGCCTCTAACGCCAGACATGGATATGACATGCACGTACGGGGTGGTTGCTTTTGCTTTGATTTGGATCAAAGCCCTTTCGGCGAGGAATGACCGCTTCAGGGCCATGGGATGGAAGGAGAAGGGATAATGGCGTGACAAACCGCACACAGCTGGGTCCATCCGGCCAAACTTTGCTTGCACACGGACCCCCATACGGGATGTGTTGGGATATTTAAGGGGATATTTAAGCATATCTTGAGGTATTTAAGTACGATATTTATCCCACCAGGGAATATTTAAGCCCTCGCATGGCTGGTGTGCGTGGCTTTCCCCGGATAGATGAGGCGTCGTGGTGATCAGGATAAAGCTAGAAAGAGGAAAGATGGGGCACTGCTCTTGCCTGTGAGCACGCGTATGGTCAAAACAATGTTATGCCTTTTCACCTACCTTGTTTGAAGGAGAGAACACGTCCCTCTGCTAACCTGCTGTGTGGTCATTTAAAGTCTGATTCCGGAATTGTATTGCCTTAACTGCAAAATAGAGGCCAGATTGGATCTTCTAGTGGCCTGTGGTTTCTGTTCAAGATAAAGAGACACCAAATAAGCACGGTACGGAGACAGTTGGGTCACTTAAGATTAAGTGGGCGAGATCCGGCTGATTGTCTTATGGAGGGGGGGGGGGGGCGCTTCTCACCAGCAGCGGGGTACTTGTCAGCCTTGTGCCCCTGCTTACCAAGATTCTGGCTGCTTCCCGGGTCGGCCGGTATATTTGAGGTTCTGCCGCTGAACCCAGCGTGAAGGAATGACGGGAGAATTACAATGGCGATGTTTTGCATTCACATTCGAGTAAAATTCGAATAAAAGAAGCACGTACGCGCAAGTTTCAACGCTCGCCAGCGATGTGCTTGAGCGGCATTCTGCTGCGCGTCTGCCCGCGCCTGGATGACGATAGCGTTTCGGAACAGTCCGGCAGCGATCCGTCGCAGGCAGATATTTGCTCAGCCGGCTGGTGTGTACAGTTTTTGCCCGGTCGCCTCGGCGTCCTGGCCGGCCTCGCGGCGCATCCCGCGTGTCGACCAGCGCGTCACATTTGCGCCGGGCGTGGTCGTGACCCTGCGCCCCGCTGGTTACTGTCCGACGCCCGTCGGAACCGCCGGCGTCACCCAGGAGCAGTCAGTGACACCGCTGGGCACAGGCGTTAGGCGTTAGCGTCGCAAACTGCGTCACTTGAGTTGAGCTCGGGATGCCTCCCTGTTCACTCTCCACGGGCAGGCCTCAGGCGGGCGAAGCGGACGCCGGTGCGCTCGAATTCGATGGCGTGGTGTGGGCGTGGCCGGCCCGTGCTCGTCACCCGCCGGTTGACTGCCGGCGGCAGGCAGCTGCGGTCGGGGGCGACCGGGCGGTACTTCCCCGCACGGCCTGGGGCGTGGCCCGGCCGACCAGGCGCTGTGGCTCTGGGAGCACCGACCGCAGCCCGAGCCTCGCCGGCCGGCCGCACTGGCTCAGCCCGGACGGGGCGGACCTGACGCGATGGCCCGACCCGGCGCTCCCTAGCTTCCTGGGGCCGCACGGGCTCGGGCGGGACGGGGGCGGACCCGACGCGACGGCCCGGCGCGGCGCTCCCCCGCTGCCTGGGGTCGCACGGGCTCGGCCGGGATGGGGCGAACCCGACGCGACGGCCCGGCCCGGCGCTCCCTAGCTGCCTGGGGTCGCACTGGCTCGGCCCGGACGGGGCGGACCCGACGCGACGGCCCGGCGCGGCGCTCCCCGGCCGCCTGGGGCCGCACTGGCCCGGTCGGGACGGGGCAGACCTGACGCCAGTGGCCCGGCCCAGCCCAGTGTTACTGTCCGGCCCGACAGAATGAGGAGCCTATGACGAAACCGCAGATATATAACGCATGTAGATAGTTCTAATGAGCTGAGGAGCAGCCTGGCTTGAAATTAGACGGGGCTTCGCTGCCGGCTCAAATGAAGTGCGCAGTGCAGACAGTGCGCAGTTCCGGACAGCGTTTTGTAGCTCCCCAGCTTTGGTCGTTGGTGCGGTTGTAAGGGGTGGCGGTATTTACAAGACGCATTACATTTCCGGCATAACGCATAGTATTTCAAATCTTTGACGGCTGAAATCCAGAGACGGACGTACGTTACCACTGTTGGACGCCTGGCATGGATTGTCACAGCAGGAGCTGACCGCGCCCTGTCTGTGCCGCAGGTGGAGCCGGTGCATCAGACGTTGACACTGGACCGCAGGTCACGGAGGCCGCGGCTGCGTACCGTCCGGACCGACGCCGACCTGAGAGGTCAGCCGATCCGCCGTGTCCGGTGCCCGACCTCGGGAGCCGTGACATTGGTGGCGCCGCGTGGCGCCCGAAGGCACTCTGGCACCCGCCACCGCGTCAGGGTATCTGGAGCGGCATCGGAGTGCTTGCCACCCCATCAGGATGTCTACTATGCGGTCACAGTGTCTGCCATCCTTCAGAGCGTGCGTTACCCCGCCAGTGTTTGCTACCCAGATAGAGTGTCTGCCCCCCCCCCCCCTCCCGTCAGTGTCTGTCATCCCGTCGCAGTGTCTGCCATCCCGTCTGGTATGCCTGCTACCCCGTCAGTGTTTGCCATCCCGTCGCAGTGTCCGCCGTCCCGTCTGGTATGCCTGCCACCCCGTCAATGTTTGCCATCCCGTCGCAGCGTGTGTCATCTCGTTCGAGTGTCGGTCGCCCCGTCAGAGCCTCCGCCCCTGTGACCTCCCCGTGTCCCGCGGGGTCCGCCGACCCTTTGACCCCATCTCGCCGACGGACGGCACGCCCGGCGATCGTTAGCACCCCGTGACCCGGACTAAATCGGGAAAGTGCCCCCAACTGCCGCCGCGGCCCCTCCAGCCGGCGTCGGTGGGCGTGCCGGTATCGCGCCACCAGCCCGCCCCTCCCCTCCCCCGTGGGCTATTTCTAAACGCCAACAAGGCTTATTTCCCGTCAGATTTTGATAGCTTTAGATCGCGTTGCCGGACTAGTACAAGGTCCTGGATATAGACCGGGCACCGCTCTTCCGCTCTGCGCCTGCTAGGAGTGTGTCGAGGGCCTCACGCTCCTGGCATTGTGGTTCGTTTGCTCGCTGAACATATAATGCTGTCAGGGACCGCTATCCTTGCGGTGAAGAGACAGCGCAGAGCACATATGGCAGGTGTATTGCAAACGATTCAACAGGTAGGCATGGCAATTTTGTAATCAGCGTAAGGAATCATTTGCTTGTGTCCTGTTTCGTGGGCTGCGCATTTGACCGCTCGTGGCCAGAGGGACACTCGCCAGAGTCACAGCTCTGCCGTCTGGATGCGCTCCAGCGCTGCCATGTCGAGCGCTCCGTCACTGCTGACCGCTCGTGGACCCGTGTGACGGCTGCGTCACTGCTGACCGCTCGTGGACTCGTGTGACGGCTGCATCGGTGCTGACCGCTCGTGGACCCGTGTGACGGCTGCGTCGCTGCTGACCGCTCGTGGACCCGTGTAACGGCTGCGTCACTGCTGACCGCTCGTGGACCCGTGTGACGGCTGCATCGGTGCTGACCGCTCGTGGACCTGCGTGACGGCTGCGCAGCTGTTGACCACTCGTCGACCCTTGTGACGACTGCGTCAGTGCTGACCGCTCGTGGACCCGTGTGACGGCTGCGTCACTGCTGACCGTTCGTCGACCCTTGTGACGACTGCGTCAGTGCTGACCGCTCGTGGACCTGCGTGACGGCTGCGCAGCTGTTGACCACTCGTCGACCCTTGTGACGACTGCGTCAGTGCTGACCGCTCGTGGACCCGTGTGACGGCTGCGTCACTGCTGACCGTTCGTCGACCCTTGTGACGACTGCGTCAGTGCTGACCGCTCGTGGACCTGCGTGACGGTGCGCAGCTGTTGACCACTCGTCGACCCTTGTGACGACTGCGTCAGTGCTGACCGCTCGTGGACCCGTGTGACGACTGCGTCACTGCTGACCGTTCGTCGACCCTTGTGACGACTGCGTCAGTGCTGACCGCTCGTGGACCCGTGTGACGACTGCGTCACTGCTGACCGCTCGTCGACCCTTGTGACGACTGCGTCACTGCTGACCGCTCGTGGACCCGTGTGACGACTGCATCGGTGCTGACCGCTCGTGGCCCCACGTGACGGCTCTGTCTCTGTGCGTGTGTTGCAGCCCGGCTGTGCGGTAACGTGCGGACGCGGCTGACCAGCGGCGGCTTCTCGCTCCAGCCGCTGCCAGAGGAGAGACCTTCCTCGGCCGTGAGTTCCCCGGCCTCCGGTCGCCGCATGCCTGCCTTGGGGCAGCGCTCTCCGGACGCTGTGAGATAGCGGAAACTGCTGACTGTGGCCCTGCACATCGCCTGGTTATGTGTCGCTTTTGGTCCTGCACAGTGTGTGCTTAGCTTTGGTCACCCCACGGCTTCCGTTTGTCCTCCTACTCAGTGTCTCTGTGGTATTAGCACTAACACGATCAATTTATGTGAACACCTGAGCTGGCATTTCACCCACCTGACCTTTTTGACGACCTTTCCTCGGCATTCTCCATTCGTCTTCACATTCCCCACGCGGCGGACTCTGAAACTTCAGGCTCACTTCAATCCAGGCCAGCGAACGCCGTCGCGCCGCCGACCACACGCGCCAGGATTGCCTGACCCGCCGGTCAGCCGCTCCGCCGGCAGTCGCGCCGGCCGCCGATTTCCCAGCGGAGTGCTCCTCCCACAACGCGCGCAGGCGGGCATCGGATCAGACCGGTGTCGGCTTCGGCTGGCCTCATCTGCACGGACGCGCTCCTGCCAGATCCCCGCCCGGCACGCGGCCGTGGTGTGACGCGGGCGCATGCCTATCCGCGCCGTCGTGACGCTGCCGGCCGCCGAAGGGCTCCAACGCGGCCCCGGTGTTGCCTCAGCTGCCCCTTCTGTGCCCTATCGTGTGGTGTGGACTAGTAGCCGTGGGGTGTGTCAGCGGGCGTAGCAACTGGCGTCCGGCATATGTGAGGGCTCGGTGTCGGGTCAATGCTTTGTCCGTTCCGGTCCGCTTCAGTCCGTTCCAGTCCGTTCCGAGCGGTTCCGGTCCGTTTCGACTGTATTTGGCCCGTGCAGTGTCGTTCCAGTCGCGTTCCGGTCCGAACTTATCCGTTTCTATTCGTCCCGGTACAGTCAGGTCCAGTCGGTTTGGATCCGTGCAAGTCTGATCTGGGCTTATCATTTCCGTTCCTGTCCAGACGGTTCCGTCCCATCCTGGTTTGGCCGTTCCACGCTGTTCCACCTCGTTCCATTATTCAATTTCCATTTCGTTAGTTGGGGGCCGTTTGGGTCCATGGCAGTCCGCTCGTCGGCCAAGTCCTGGCAGCTGAGTGAGCCGTCCTCTCGCTCGCTTCAGCAGGGCAGCCACGTGGTTGACTTGGTCGATGACGACGACGACCAGTACGCGCGCGAGGACCGCACACTGGGCCTCTCCATGTCCTCGTTCAACAGCCGGAAGGACTCCGGTATCCGCAGTCGGCGCAGTAGCATCCAGGCCGAGGTGAGAGGCGCCGGGAGCCGCAGTCGGCGCAGTAGCATCCAGGTCAAGGTGAGAGGCGTCGGGAGCCGCAGTCGGCGCAGTAGCATTCAGGCCGAGGTGAGAGGCGTCGGGAGCCGCAGTCGGCGCAGTAGCATTCAGGCCGAGGTGAGAGGCGCCGGGAGCCGCAGTCGGTGCAGTAGCATCCAGGCCGAGGTGAGAGGCCCCGGGAGCCGCAGTCGGCGCGGTAACATTCAGGCCGAGGTGAGAGGCGTCGGGAGCCGCAGTCGGCGTAGTGGCATCCAGGCCGAGGTGAGAGGCGCCGGGAGCCGCAGTCGGCGTAATAGCATCCAGGCTGAGGTGAGAGGCGCCGGGAGCCGCAGTCGGTACAGTAGCATCCAGGCCGAGGTGAGAGGCCCCGGGAGCCGCAGTCGGCGCGGTAACATTCAGGCCGAGGTGAGAGGCGCCAGGAGCCGCAGTCGGCGTAGTGGCATCCAGGCCGAGGTGAGAGGCGCCGGGAGCCGCAGTCGGCGTAGTGGCATCCAGGCCGAGGTGAGAGGCGCCGGAAGCCGCAGTCGGCGTAGTGGCATCCAGGCCGAGGTGAGAGGCGCCGGGAGCCGCAGTCGGCGTAGTGGCATCCAGGCCGAGGTGAGAGGCGCCGGGAGCCGCAGTCGGCGTAGTGGCATCCAGGCCGAGGTGAGAGGCGCCAGGAGCCGCAGTCGGCGTAGTGGCATCCAGGCCGAGGTGAGAGACGCCGTGAGCCAGGCCGAGGTGAGAGGCGCCGGTAGCCGCGAGGCGGCGCGCTGCGTCGACAGCGAAGTGGCCGGCGGGCCTGTCGGTGATATTACGTCTGAGGCTCACACGAGAGATGAGCAATTTGGAGGGATTGACTTAATCCGGCGGCGTCTGAGAAGCCGCCCTCCTGTAATGGAACTCAGAGGAGTTCGGTACGGACGAACTCGAAGCTCTGCCGAGAGCGATCGGCCCATGTCAGGACTGTACCCTCCGGAAATTGGATCAACTTTGCGTCGAGAAACCGAAACTAAACCACGAGGCAACCACGAGCACTGCATCTCAATTGTATTTCGTGACGCGCGGATTAGGCTGTTGTCAGAAACAGGCAAGTTTGCCTTGTTTTGAATAGCCATATCAGTAA